AATTTTTTAGTGTAAGACCTGACAATAAAACTAGAAGTAAAGAGATGAGATTCATAAATAGCCTCAGTACCAGGAAAACAACTTAATAATGAAACATACTTATTTGTGATATAGTTGGGGTAGGAAAAATAAGTGATAGGCACTCTTTCATTTCTTTCTTTCTTTCTTTTTTTTTTTTAATACAGAAAATACACTCTGTGGACCAGTACGTATTTTCCATCTTTAACTTCTCCACTTGTGTATTACCTCTTTCCTAAAGAAACAATCCTATCTGCAGCTTTCACATCTAGGAGGCAGAGGAGTTGTTTTGCGAGCTGGCTTCTCAGCATTCAGTGTCTGCTACTGGCAGAACCCACATATCACACTACTCTTCATTCCTGTTTGTGCTGGAGGAAATCTACATATGGAGATAATCATAAATCTTCACTCTCTGAAGAGAATAAGCAGCTGACTAAGCTATGTGTAGCACCATTACAGCCCTCCCTTAAGGCATTTAATTGCATATCATGCAGAAAATGGACATTTTCTACCATTTTTTCAATTTAAATTGAAATTCACATACTGTAGTGAATATATACTCATTCAGTAATAAATATAAATCAGCCTGCTTTATGCTGATGTATGAGAAGATTGAAGTTGTTCAATATAAAAATTTAGTTAATAAAAATTAAAACTGAAGTTGTTTCAATGTAACAATTAAGATCCTGAACAAACTCTTTTTCCCCTTTTCTACCCAATAATTTTTTTCCATGATTTTAGTGTAGTGCTGTGTCATATTACTTTACATTTGGAATAATCTGTACTTCAAGGTTGAAGAGCTTCATGAGTCTTCAGAAAGTCTTTGTCATACAGATACAAATATTTTACAGGACTTACTTACTTCTCAATTTATGGATATTAATACAAGCATGATGCAATCAAAGCATTAAATGAACTCAAGGATTTCATTAGGATATGTTGGTTATGTAATGTTTAATCCTTAACAGATCGTCTCCCAGATTTTCTACCCATCTCATGAACTAGCAGCCTATCCACCACCACTTTCAGTGGGAGTAGGATCTGTGCCTAGTTTAGAAAGTTTTGCCCCAATAGTTAGTGTAAAAGCTTAAAATGTTCTGATCCACCCAAAAGTATAGAAAACTTCTCATACGACCAGGGACCAGCGGTCTTTGCTTCAATGACTTACAAGCTAATGATTTGGGCTTAGATTTGTGCATGTGTTGTATTGCTAAAACTAGTGGTTCAAAAGCAATGAGGCTTCAGACAATGATAAATTGCTTCCTTTGTTGTCAAGCTGTTGCCAATTTACACTTTGACACAATTTTTGTTTGTATTGTATTTTATTGCTGACCAATTAAAAAATACAAACACAGAATATTCCTCACTCTGACACAGATCTTGATCTCTATGACCATCTATAGCTTGTTTTTAAAAAACAAACAAGCAAACAAACAAATGAACCAACAACAGCAACAACAAGAAAAACCAAACAAATAAACAAAACCAAAAGCCTCCAAATTGGCAAACAAATGAACAGTTGCAAAGTCAAGATAATACTTTCTGGAACAGCAATTGCCTGAATTCCTTGGTCTGTTGATCCGCAGAGTTGAACATAATGTTCACTGATTTATTTCCCACATCAGTATAATGGTGTAGGAGGAGTAGGCACAAGGTTTCTGTGGCAGAGGGGGAAAAAAAAGGACCCTGACATGGGAAAGGGAACACAGGCTGGTTGGTAGGAGGCTAGAGCCTTGTGGTGGTGAGGTGAGAACATGGCGAAGGGGAAACAGGCGGGCTTGAAAGTGTGGGGGTGTAACATCACTGGGAGTGAAGAGGAGAGGTGGTGAGATGGAAGGCACCTCACCTGTGGTCTGAGGTATGGTGGGAAAGGAGTGGAGAGCCTGGGGAGCTGAGCACAGGGATTTCAGCAAGGCTGCATTTAAGAGCTGAATTTCGGACACAGTAAGAGCTTAACTCATATATCTGGTAGGCTTAACTGTAGCCTCTGGGTGCTCACTTACTCTTCCACCAAGGGTCCACAGGATCCTAGGATAACTCGGGTTGGAAGGGACTTCAGAAAGTCCCTAAGCCAACCTCCTACTCACAACATGGTCAGCTTGCAGGCCACCAGGCAGAGAGGAGGTGGTAGGGAAAATGTGCTGGCTGTCTAGCATATTGCCTTAAGCTTCTTTTTTTTGGAGGAGTTAACGTGTTAAGCAGCTAAATGCACCCGAGACTGTGAGCTGGAGCCCAAAGGAGTTAAGGAAGAGGGGCAGAGCAGCTGTGAGGGCTTCTACATTTCTCACTGAGCTCCAAGGGTACACCTTGGTGCCTGCCATTTGTCTTGCCAGCCAGGGAAAGCCACAAAGTCATCCAAAGACAAAATGAGCAAACACCAACCTGCACTCCTGAGACGCACAGGATTCCTTCACACCTCTTCTCCTCTGGTCCATTGATTCTAATGAGCCACTCTATGCATCAAGACAATCTGTCCTTGATTTCTTTGATTTAATGTGGTTCAAACCCACCCTGCAAGTTAAATAACATAGAAGACTATTTAAAAGTCAAACTTATGGTGCCTAAACCCCAGAAAATTAACAAAATAAAACTGAAATTTAAGTATGCTGTTAGTCAGTGTGTAATGACACAGTGCTTTTTTGGCTGTGCTGCTATAACTTGCTTAAAATTCAGTCCTGAAGGTAATAATACCCAGAATTTGCCAGGCTTCTGATTGGTCATGTATGTCCTCTAGCATCTCATCAAGTCTATGTAACTGTTCTCTGCTTCTTCACCTAGATTTGCCCTGTTTGCTTTTCTTCTCCACTTGAATGCATATAAAGTGTTTGTGGCTTGTCCCCAGGGACGGTTGTCTTTTGTGTTCAGAATCTCCCCTCGGTCTCACTTTGCTCCCCTTGGTGTTTCTCCTTCAGTCCCAGATGGGATAATATATGTTCTTAAAACCTCTCCTATTTTTAGATTCCTGTACATATTACACATCGTAAAGAGCATTAATTATGCATACATTCTGTTAAGCTTATGGTCTCTTGTGCATTACCAGCTATTTCTGGAGAAAGATCTTGCTGCATTTGAATGCATTATTAAAGTGGATGGCAGGCTGAGTGACAAGTTTCATTATCTGTCTGTGTTCCAGTGCCTCCCTGTAACCACTGCCAGCTTCAGAGACTGTGATCCCCTCAGGTTGCCATTTGTCATCTCCAGCAACGGAGGCAATGGAATTTTGGGTGTAACTCGTCTCACCCCAAATTTTATGCCGGCACTGGAATTGTACCCAAGATTGCCTTTACTAGACCTTTGCTGAATGCAGAGAGCACAGATAATGGGGTACTCAAAAAAAAATAAAAATCACTGAGGCGTCAGTTCATTAAGCAACAGGTCCTTGCTGTGACAGTGACTGCGTAGGTGGATGGGTTGAGGTGGGGTTTGGGAGAGCTATGACAGCAGGGAGACAGAGCAGTAATTAATTCCTCCACTATCTTGCTTTGATGCTGCTTCTTTCCTGGGTTTTGTCCTCTTTCTTTTCTAAACCTAGGTAGCTCTGCTATTACCAGTGTTGCCTAGATACCAGTGTCTTTTCTCCAGCAAAGCTGGCGCTGAAACATTGAATAAAGAAAACCGTGTCAGGCGGCTTACTTTCAGTGAGACATTTTCAGTTGAAAATTCTTTTATTACACTCAGTCATTTGCATAGATCTCCCTCACCCTTGACACAGTTTGAATTTATGACTTCTGCTGTATCTGGTCTTCTACTGACTGGATAACACAGACATGATGCCGAATTCCTGTTCTCTGTACTCTCTTGGCATGAAGCTCTCTAGATTTATCTAGAGTACATCTGCTAGCATACCACAAACTAAATTTTCCATCAGAACAATAGACATAATGAGGCAAAGATGGTTGCACAAAAGTTGACCTGATATTTCAAGAGTAAATCAAGAATTCTGTGCTGTAGGCAGGAAGAGAGCTCTTGTAGCAGCATGCTATGATTAATGTTTAATGTGCCCCTTCACTGTCCTTCCTGGGCAGAGGCTTTCTTTGAGGCTTCTCAATGAATCTATCATTACCGATGCACCTCTCTCAAAGGCCTTTCTGCATCCCTTTTACATGGGAGGTATTCAGCCTCTTTTCCTTCTCCTTAGAGGTAGATGCTCCGATGTTGTGTGCTGGAATAAAGCCATTTTTCCCAGGTGGCCAATAGTCTCATTCATCTTAAGCCCCAAACCCCTTGTTCCATCTCCAGCACATGCCCACACTGAGCTGCTTACCAGAAATCCTGGCCCACTGCTGCCCATCCCAAAGAGGCAAGGCTAGGAGCTGCCAGAGGGCAGAAGCAAGAGGGAATAAAAGGGAACAGGAGGTCATTTCCAGGGCTCACTTCCATTTTTCTCTTTCCTTGTTACAAGTGACTCTAGAACATTGGGTAGTGCTGCCAATAGCATGTGTATGGTACACACGTTGGTTCTTCCACATGTTTGTTGGCAGATATCATGACTGCTCTCTTAGTTCACATTAAATACTGTGGTGGCTGTCTTCCTCTCGATTGTGCTGCTGCTACTTGCCTTACAAGTCTCTAATACACTGAAGTCTAAAGTAGCAGAATTTTGTCTTTCTATGCACCAATTTGCCTTGGGCGAGTCCATATAGTGAGTTGGAAAGTGAAACGGTAAGGCTGATCAGTGCTCACCATTCCTGACACTTCCACGTATGACTGAATCAGAGCAGTTTAAGCAGTGTCTGTGTGAGGGATGGGAAGGGCATTACATCTCTTCAACCACATAAGAGCCTGCTGGATACATTTAAAAATCTTAAAGAACCTGAAGGTTGGTTGGTTGCTGGAATGGACTCTTGGCTGATTATATCATAGTACGGTGCAACAACAGCAGTCATGAAATATATTTAAACTTGGCCCAGGGCAGCTTTTTGCTATAGCACTTGATATTCTAACAAATATATACAAAAAAAATCTTTATATTTATGTTCTAGGTAGTGCATTTATTTCTGTCTTATTTCTAAAGAAGACCATGAGGGCTGCTGATATATTGGGTAAGTAAGTGTTTGTTAATACAGACGTGTGTCGCCATATGCTCAGCAAGCTGTAACTCTCACGCAGATCCCCACCTTCACACTCCCACTTACCCGAGCAAGTGTTTCGAGGCAGATACTTTCAAAACTGGGAAGAAGTGACAAAAAGAGAGAAGCTTCAATACACAGGGTAAAGACTGAATTCCTGAATCCTCTGCTTTTATAAACCATAACTCATTCCTTATGTGTCCTTATTGCTCAAACTTATTTTCATTGTCTATTTCTGCCTCTGAGGCTGTATTTAGTATTATCTTTATGATCACAACACAATTTTAATAAAAACAATGAAGTTACTGAGTCATTCATTCAAATACAAGATTTTTTTTTTACTGCATAGACATTGTACAAAAATGTAAGCTCAATTAAAAGTGACAATTTCCCTTTAGGTATTAATTTTATCACATCAAAGAACAAATAATCACATTGTCAAGTCTTTTGTTGGGAAACAAGGTCTTCAGTGTAAAAGCATGTCAAATTTTTGTCTGTGTCCAAGGTTTTTTTGTGTGCCAAAACTGCCTAGCTTGAACACAGTAATACTGAGACACAAGTATATTTCAGGGTTTGGGCTTTATATGAAGCCATCTCATCTGGAACAGTGCACCTGATATTGTTACAGGGCACCTGATATTCCCGTGGGATTCCTCATGTCTAGGCTTGGTTGTCCGTATTATATCAAGAACATCCCAGCTGTTCTCATGAATGTTTTGGAGCGATCTGTTCCATATTGTTCCAGGAGTACTATATAATATTTATACAGGTTTGAGATCCAAGTTTGCCAGCTCAGCTGCTAGATTCAAAATCCCTCCTCCCTTGACTGATCATGTTTCCCTTATGGCCTTATACACTGTGTGATGCCTTAACTAGTGTTCAGCACTGATTTATTTTATTTCTGTGCCTTCGACTTTGCAGGAAGGATTTAACAATGTTGCTGCATTCCATAGGAATGAGCTGTATGATGGGAAATATGGTGATGTTTTTGCAAGCACATAAATATAGAGCAGTTCTGCTTTTCCAAAGGAACAGTGTGTGATAGTGGTTCCAGCAAAGCCCTCCGGATGTGCTTTGTTTTGTATTCCTGAGCCTTGTATTCCACACTGATTTATAGGTTTGCCAAGAATTTTAAAGATTACTTGAAAAAAAAAAATTTGATTAGCTAATATCTCCCTAATCCAATATAGTTTATGAGCTCAGGATCGGCTCACTTCTATCTTGATACCTCAGTGAACATCTGTGTTTGTCAGCTGGCTGTCCACAAGACAGAACTTCCAGATTTTTATTAAAAGCACAATAATGCAAGTTCAACCCTGAAAAGAGGCCCTGGAAACCTAATGGCTGAGCATTCTTTTGCAAATCATCCTTTTATAGAACAGTTCATAGGTCTGGAAATGCAACAGGGAGCGGCGAAAATGTTGGCTCCGTGACAGCTTCACGTGAGCATTGGACTGGAACATATGTGTTGCACCTAATGTTTCCAGGTCAAGTCCATTGCTGCTGCAGATGTCTGTGGCCACACTTACTTTGGGAGAGTTATGTTTATTTATGCTGGTTAACAATCTGTGTATCTGCCTCAGTAAGCAACTTGTTCAGTTTAGGTTAAGTTTACATGACATGCTTTGTACCTGTGAGAAACAGAGAGGAGAGATTCTCCTTTGTCATATGCTTGCTATTAGAATTGTGAATATTTTAAAACACATTGCTGAGTTGGAATCCTAATTCATGAACCTTCATTGACAGCTCTTTCATGTTTCTAAAATTCTTTGCGTCTTCAATAACAATTACACGGGATAAGACCACAAAAGCAAAGCAACCCAGTTGCCTAAGCCCAGGTCTGATTAAATGGGCTTAAATTTTCTTCTAGAAGCTATTCTCAAACCAGCTGGAAAGCAAGGATGACCATGACTACCAAATATTGTATTACCAAAATAATGTGTTCTTTTCTTTAAAGGAGGAACATTGACAGTAACAGGGACGTACTTGTTGGTGACATTTGCTCCAAACGTACCCCAAGAACTCACAGCAAGACAAGTACAGAATTACTTAGTGAGCTGGCCTTTTTTGGTATATTCAGTGAGTATCTGGTTCATACTACTCCCTAAATCAGAAAAACTGGAGTTATTGATCTTTTTGCAGCACTATGGATTAGTGGCAGAAAAACTGCTCCTGAAGATAAAATATGTGATTTTAATAGGAGAGAGAGCATGTCTTTGGGTCATCACCTGAATCTCAAAGCTGAAAATAAGCTGAACAAAATTATGTCTTTGGAACTATATGCTGGGAAAAGTCATGGTTGTGCAGGATTAACACAAATGGAAAGATTTTGGGTTTTAGTGGGCTTGAGGGCAAAACCTAAATATTTACACTGATTATATATCATATATATGTGTTCATGTCATCCTCTCCACATGTACATCTAAGTTACAGTGCTTTTCTGTAATATGATGGACTTGCGTTTTTAAAAATCGGGTTATATATGCTCTTGGTCCTGTTTTTTTCTTTCATATCACTCTGTTTTGTCCTGCTTGGCTGAAAGGAGCTTTCTATGGAGTTGAGATGTGAAGAGGTAGCCCACTTCACTGCCTCTCAGATTAATCTGAACCTGAGTTTGAATTCAAATGCAAAAATATCATTTTGATTGAAGTATCTGTATGCAAACTTCAAATACCATTAATCTCCTTTGATGTATTTAATTAGCAGCAGGAACAAGGCCAGAGTGAGTAGGAGGAATTTCTCTTTCTTTTCTTCTGGAATGCTGAAGATTCGTTCCTCCAGCTGAATGTAAAAGATGTGATATAGGAGCTTCTGAAGCAATTACTTTTTCCCATTAAAGTGGCTTGCTTGGGTTAGATTATTAGTGCCCGTGTTTTCTCAGTAGGAAGCTCAGTTAGAAAGCTACTGACTAGACACATTAAGGACCTTAATCTTTTAGCTAACCTGCAGACTTTACATACATCTAGGTATCTATGAGACTACTGATTAAGCAGAAAGTACATGCTGCCACAGAAAATGTTGATTCTCCTGGTCAATTTTTTGTGCATTTTAAAAGCACCTCAGTGGAAGAAATTGATGTTCACACTGCATAAATCACAACATGGACTTTCAATCATGCAGCAGAGAGCTTTTGAACTCTAGGCAATGCCCTAGTGTTTTAGGGCACTCAGTAGGGGTAACTTCAGCCTCAGCAGAAGCTTCAACAAACCCTAGAATCCTAGAATCCTCGAATCCTAGAATCCTAGAACAGTTTTGGCTAGAAGAGACTTTCAACATTGTTGAGTCCAACTTTTTCCTAGCCCCATCAACACCACTAAACCATGTCCTTCAAGGTAACATCTACCCTTCTCTTAAACATCTCCAGGGATGATGACTCAACCACCTCCCTGGACAGTCTGTTCCAATGGCTCACAACCCTTTCAGTAAAGAAATTCTTCCTAATACCCAACCTGAAACTCCCCTGGTGCAACTTAAGGCCATTTCCCCTCATCCTGTCACTCGCCACTAGGGAGAACAGACCAAATCCCGCCTCTCTACAACCTCCTTTCGGGTAATTGTAGAGAGAGATAAGGTCTCCTCTCAATCTCCTCTTCTTCAGGGTAAACAGCCCCAGATCCCTCAGCCGTTCCTCATAGGACATATCTTCCAAATCTTTTACCAACTTGGTAACCCGTTTCTGTATCATCTCCAGCACCTCAACGTCCCTCTTGTAGCGAGGGGCCCAAAACTTGACACAGCACTCGAGGTGCAGCGTCACCAAAGCCGAGTACAGGGGCATGATCACCTCCCTGCTCCTGCTGGCCACACTATTCCTGATCCAGGCTAGGATGCTGTTGGCCTTCTTGGCCACCAGGGCACACTGCTGGCTCATGTTCAGCTGGCCATCTATCAACACCCCCAGGTCCCTCTCTGCGTGGCAGCTCTCCAGCCCCTCCTCCCCAGCCTGATCAGGAGGGGTTTCTTTGGAAGGAGATTCAGAACAGGGGTTTCAGTGCTCACTGGAGGACCATCTCTCTTTCCTACTGGATATCCCTTTCTACCATTCCACCTAAGGACGCTAAAAAAGCCTGGCATTTTAGGCATTGATTTTAAATTTCTGATTCATCAGTTTGTGTAGAGGTGATGGAGGGAGAAAACATCTCATCCATGCCCAGAGACACCAGAAAATTCAGTACCATCAGCTGTTCACATGTTTGTAAAACCCAACAGTTTGCTGGAAAAGGACTTTTCTTCGTCTGAGGACTTTTTGGGTTTTGTTTCAGGAAAAGTTAAGAGCACAGCTGAATGCCTAGGAAGACTGCTGTATTTTTCTTAGGAGATATCATGAAGCGGTGTCTGGCAACCCCTGGACTTTCTTTGCCCCCTCTCTTTTCCTTGCCTCAGCTAGCATCCAATACTACATGTACAGCATGGGTTGCAGAAAAAGTTGGAACAAGTACACAGCAAACGTTGACTCAATCAAGCTTTATTTGTCCCTTCTGTTCCCTACAATCAGTTTTGAGCTTCTTTGGTCTAAGGAGGAGGGATATATGAAAGGCCCTGCAAGAGACTCTGAGATACCAACCTGCTGGAAGTTCAAGCAAACCCTGCTGTAAACATTCGCTTTGATCAGGGAACTAAATCTTTGTAATTGTTTGTAAAGTGCCTAGCACAAGTTGGCTGCCAAAATATAAAATAGAAGTTGCAGTTTCCCATATAAATACATAGTGATATAGCAGCATAATACAGTCCAACAGCCTTTCTAAAAGTAGCCCTTGAGTGTGGTCTGCTCAGAAATACAAAGCCCCAATGGTACAAAATGTTCTGTGTGGGTGATAAACCATCCCCATGTGGCACTCCACTGGCACCAGAGGAGTTCTGCAGAAATAACCTCTGGTTCCCACATGAGACAACTTTGAGTCACCTTCTGAGACTGCAGTAGCATAATCATGTCTGAGCAAGAATGACTATCCTAGCTTATTTTTTTTCTTTTTTGCTTATGTGCACTTTGAGTCACTACAGAAGACATCAATTATAGATGAAGCTCTTAGGTTTCCCCAGACAGAAGCATAGTAAGTATTGGGTTGTTAATATTTAATCTCTGTAAAAACAGGCTCAAAGCATTTCTGCTTTTCCTTCAAAGTGCCTGGAAGACTCTCCTGCTTCATTAGTCCCCATGTTGCTGTATATCCCAGAAAAGCAGCTGAGGCAGATGATGTGGTATTTTGTTCTGGTGCCTCCTGGTAATGCTTAGGAACATGGAAAACACCATAATTATAAAAAAAATGCTGATGAGATGTGGGTTTGAGAAGACTTCAGTAGAGATTAATTATAACAGGAAAAATGACTGTAAGCAGGTCAAGCTACTTCAATTCCTCTAAAAAGAATAAATATGTGAAGCTGATATAAACTACACACTTCCCATTCCCGGACTTTGTGTTTAACACTACCACAGCTATCAACTATGAGAGCAAGCAATACTCTGGGTAGTTCTCAAGAAATAATTGTAGGCAAACATCCCTGTCTGTGTGAGGTCCTGTCTGGAGCCATACACTCTGCTTGCAGCCTGACTCAATGTGAGGGCCTCTCCTTTGTCTTGTGATTAAAGGTGACCTGTTGGTGGGTCATCAAGCAGCAGAGAACCATCAAATAATAGTTTGGCCGTTGAATAGCCAGAGGTGAGAACTAATTGTTCGAATTTCATGCTAGTGTGTGAGACTTGACAGAGCTGAGCAAACTTAACAACCCTGAAAAGCAAACACCAGCTTTCCCCCCGGGTTCTGTCACAGGACTGCCATCTCTGGCTCTACATCACTGCTGGCTCATTTCTTTTAGGAGTCTTTCTGGCAAGTTCGCTTGCTTTTAAACATCGGGAGATCACAGTGAAGATTTATGGCAGCTTTAGCAAGAGAAGAGCTGGTAGGGACTGACAGAGACCTGGTTCAGTTGAGGTTGGTGGTGCCCAGCACTCCTACCACTCTGGGGACTGGAGTCAGGTGGAACAGGGAGTGGAACACTAGGGCTGAACGGATGGAGCAATTTGAGACAGTGACTCTTCCTGGGCTTGTTTTCAGATGATTTCTCTTGTGTAGTTTGAAACAGAAGTGACAGGGCAGAAGACTGTGCTTTCATCTATTGGAATTGTGATTAAAATTGTCTAGGAAATATAAAACAAATCCATAGCTGAGGTGCAGCTGGCTGCCTCATGGGTTTCTGCACACCCTGTGGCCACCAGTTGAAGGGTTAAATTAATTAAAGCATAATTACGTTCTGATCATGGTTTTGAATACTACTAAACTGGGAGAGGTGTGAGTGTGGTAGAGAATTTTAGTAACTGAATGTAGCTGATGACTGCTTTTCTGCTGCAGTCACTCCTCAAAATGAGAAATTAGCTGTTACATTATATAACTGTATATAGCTAGTAACTTTTCAGTGGCTTTTTTAGAAATTTCATCAGTGCAGCACCCAGGTACTTTTTAGTCTAGTGCTGCCATATGGCAACTGTTGGTTTAGGGGTGGAGTGGTACTGAAAACATAAAACAGTATGTTGGTGACAAAACCAAGAAGATAGACATGAGATTTTTCTATGACTTGTCTTACTGGCAAAAAAAATGAAAATAATTAGATTCAGTAAACATGACAATTTCGTTTTCTGTCTTGTTTGCTCCGCTTGACTCCTTACCAACATGCACAATGAACTTCTCTTTCTTTATGCTGTCTCTAAGGCTACCAGACTTCTCAACACCTCTCAAGGCAGAGGTCCACCATCCTGGTTTTCATAAGCCTTCTGGGCTTCACAGAAGCTTTTTGGCTGTTGAACTTGCTGTTTTCATTAGACATAGAGGGGTATTTGGGCAAAGCGTGCAAGAGGGAGAATGCTCATGCTTTTGAGATGGTAAAAGGCAAGAGTTAGTAAGAGAATCTGCAAAGAGACATTAACAGAAAGTCAGTAAATTTAACTGTCATTTAGCTGGCAGATGTTGAAGGAGCAAGTTTGGACCATGAAGTGTAAGTAAAGCTGCTTCAGCAGCTGCAGATCTCCTGCAGTGTGGTCTGCTTGTGCATCACTGAGCTTTTCAAGGTAAGCTCCCAACAGGTACCTATGATTTGAGAACCACGGCATGAAATAAACCTTTTCCTCTTTGTCATGTATGGAAAAATGTTTGAAAAAAGCCCCCAGTGTTTGGGGAGACTTTTTTTTCATAGGACTGGGTAAAATGGCAAAGAGGGTAGTTTGCAGGTCACACAGATTGACACCAGGAGTACCATAGCTAGAAGGAGAGACTGGTGTTCCTCCAGGTGAGTGCTTTACTGCATAGGAATTATAAACAGAGGTTCTATAAGAATTATTACCAATAAGCACAGATATCTTTGTTTTCATATTAAAAAAGTCTTCTCAACACTACCTGTTTCAAAATATAGTTAGAAATGCAAAAAGAAATACTAAAGAAATAAGAAATGCTCATAGTTAAACTTTTTCTGTAGTGGGAAAGAAATGACAATTGATAGCTCAGTCAACTGGCAATAAGGTTATATTCTAGCAGAAGGTGCTTAACAAAGTAATTCTCCTTTGAACTGTTGGAGCAGAGAAAATAAAAGTGACATCTCAAAGACTTTGAATGAAGCATTTATTACATAGTTTCTTTCTTCCCTTTTATTTTCAGATCTTAGAAATTATAATATTCTGCATTCTCCTCTACTTTTACAAAAGAAAGGCTGTGAAACACATCGTGATTTTGTTAATGATGGTGGCACTACTGGGTAAGAACATATTATTCACTTTAATGTTCCTGTCTTCTACGTGATAATTCTTTGTCACTCAGTCTCCCCAGACAGTTTAGATTAGGGCCATTACAAAGCAGTGTGCTGAAGGAGAATCACTGAAACATTTCACTGTGATTCTTACTCTGGTCTCTTTTTGAAGAGAAAAGATGATTATGAAACAGTTTCTATGCTTATTGCTTGGACTATTTCTTTTTGCAGATTTCCTGAAAATAATACGCTGTGTGCAGTGGTATTCTGAAGCGCTTTTTTTAAAATAACAATTTAGCTTTAGATCCTGGGATCTTGTTTTCAGTTTTGTTTTGGAGAACAGGCTAGCTGTGAAAATCGATTCTTTAAAACAGAGCAGCCTAGGGCCTCATAAGCACACTGTAAACAAACGCAGTGATATGATGTGACTGTATGGGAACTTTTCTTTGAATTATCTTTAGCTGTTTGCATATGCAACATTTCATGATTTACCATCTTTCCAGAAGCATAGCAAGAACCCAGTGGGCCACTGAAGTTTGCCTTCCGATTAATGTTGCCACAATTAATTCCCAGGGAAACAAGGGAGATAATTTTATTAGGCAACTTCCAATAAAGTTAAACTTGAATAAGTTTTGAAAAATGTCATGAGGCTATCTCTAAAGCTCCAGTCCTTGCAGGTATATACCATGAATTTGTCACCACCTCATGCCTTCTCCCATCCTTGTTTTGTCACTTTTCAACGAAACCCTCATGGGACACCACATTTCTTTAGTTGAAGTGAAAGGTCTTTGAACTGTGTCAGTGAAGTCAATAGTTGCATCATCACTGAGTTCAGCGGGTGCATGTATCAGACTGCAAAGACTTAGAAAGCACATTTCTAATGGAGCTGTTCATGGGTGCTTTGATAAAACAGAATTTCATTGAAGTTTGCCAGTTACACAATATGGATTTAACTCAATGTGGAAAACCTTCACAGACTTATTAACTGCGTTCCTTCAGATTCCTGAGTGTTTTTTTCCCCAGCTGAAAAGCTCAGACTTACAGGTCAACTTTTTGGGACAGTCTTCCCATGTAAGTTTCTCAGCACTAGGAACACAAGGATCTGTAGCTCTGCAGAAGCCTGGAAGGATTTGCACACTCCCTGCATGAGGCAGAGATGGAAGAGCTCCAAAAGCCTTAGGTTTAACTGTTCAACTGCTTTTGGTTTGGAGGAGTGATGTGTGGGTCCAGCGAGCCCCCAGCTCCTAGTACAGAGCCTAGGAGCTTTGGCAGAGCTCTCCTGAGCTGCCCTGCAGCTTCCAACCCCTCCATGATGAGCACAAAGCACTGAGCAGTAAGTGGGCCAGTCTCCTTGTTGCATTAGCTGGAAGCCTGAAGAACCCCAATTCGCCTTCCTACCCTTGACTGCTGCAGTTCTGGGCAGATCTACCATGATGTCTCCCCTAAGCAAGGCCAACACATGTCTCCAGGAGACCCAGGTCACTGGGCTACATAGCTCTGCTTGCCTATTTTTCCATGGAGCCTGCCAGCCCTGGTGCCACCAGTGCCAAAGGGACATGTGGAGTAGCTGGACAGCAATGGTGCTGCAAACCCGTGCCCCTGCAGGCCCTAACTGCAGTTTGGTGGTCAGGCTGCAGTCAACCAAATATACAACTTCAGCTGGTGGCTGCTGAGGTTTTGATGAGCAAAAGCAGCTTGAGGAAAAATGTGTTATTATTTCTGCTCTATTAAAAAAGGCACAAAAAAACAAATCCTGGTTTGTGGGAACCTTTGAAATACTAACTTTTCCCTTGAGCAGGAAACCCAGAACTGTGGCTGGCTCTGGTTCCTGCAGCTGTCCTGGTGCCTGGCAGTCCCCACAAAGCTTAGAGCTTTCTGCTTAGTTTCTGACCTTTCTGCTGAGCAAAGTGATGGGGGAGCTGAGAGAGGGACCAGCAGCTTTGCTCCCAGCTGTCCAATATGTGAACTCCAGGAGGGGTAGATGATGTTTGGGGTCTTGGTGGCAGCTCATGGAAGAGGATTTCTGCCTTTTCTCATAACTGCACAGGTATGTTTCTGATAGAGGGTTCACACATGTAAATTAAATGTAGAAAACTTTCTTTAAAGAAAGGGCAGCCTTTGTGTTTTACTGGATATGAGAGCTGCTTTTGTTATGAACAAAATAAAGAGGTTATCATAAAATCGGCAAATGTTTTGCTTAGAACAACTCTGCGAGTTCATTTGATGAGAATTATGTTACCTCACATATACTGGGAGTTTTCATGAGTTTGGGGGAAATATTTCAGATTAAAATGGGATTTCTGAATTTCCTGCCCTAACAGCTGGAAAGTGACATCATTTGCCACACTGGCCTTGGAGGGGGGCGGATCGTTCTATCAGAGAGAAGAAAACAGTTTCCTAGGTTTTGAAATTTATTCCTTTTTTCTTTTATGGTTCATTAAAATTATAAGGAATGGAAACCTCCCTTTAACAAGAATCAATTCTCCAGCAATGTTTACCCTTAGTTGGAAAATTCAAACTACTTATTTTTACCTATAAGTGTTCTTTTCATATAATAACTTCCCCATGCTAAAGTGCAAATCTCAGCTTTTATGTAGGCTGCTTGTTGGGTCTTGAGTGTATTTTCTGGCTTTTTATCATACCATTAGCACCACTGCAGACCAGCATTTGACCTCTCTTGCTCAGTTTTACTGCTGTGTTTGTTAAACCACTCCACCTATTTCCATTACAGAGCAAGAAGTTAAGTACTTGGTGGAAAGGTTGTCATGAAAACAGTGAATTTCATGGTAGTGAACAAGATCATCACAAGATGTGTGCAACTCTTAAACTCCCCCTGAACTTTTGGACTAGCTATAAGAAAAATGCCTGCAACCAAAACCACAGACCTGAATTCGTTCTTCTTCCCCCACCTTTTATTCCAGCCCTTGGCCTGAACTTTTTGCACAGTGCAGCTTTCCTTGCCAATCTGAATTTTGCAGTTATGGGAGGATGAATCAGATCACCGAAACCCAACACCCCTCAGCTCTGGAGGAGAGTGGAATGGGATCCCAGCTGGGGGACAGTGCTCCTGACGATTAATTATCTTTCTTCAGAGGTCATCTCCACACCCCAGCTCTTCTTATAATTATTAGTTTCTTTTGAATTTGTTACGTTTTATTTGCAGTAATCACAGCCCACTTGAGTTAGCTTCAGCTAACCAAATGTGCACTCCAAAAGGAATCTAAAGTAACTCTCAGCTGGACTGTCAGCTGCTTTTCTAAAAGATGGGTATTGCAAGACTTCTCTGAACTGGTGAAGTATTAAAACCATTACCTGCTTGTCTGAGATTTGTTTGTGGTGATGCAATGACAGTGACTAAATGGACTGACAATACAGTACTGAAATATTCTATTCTGTGGGCTAAATCCCATAAATGGTCTTAAGAGCCTGGCCCCTGAAACAAAATGCAGACCCCTGTGTTGGTTGTCTGCTCTCCATACATAACCTGTGGGGAGAGCGAAGGATGTGATCCCAGAAGTCATCTTTGGCCAGACTTGGCCAGCTCCCATCTCAGCAGAGAAATCATGAGGGTGAGGAGGTATTTTAGGCTGCCAGTGTCACATGAAGGCTGCTATTAGGAGGTGTCCCAGCAGCTCTTGTTATCAAGACCTCTGGGACCTCTGCTGAATAGTGCAACATGGGCCCTGAATTAGCAGCTGGAGCTAAATAAAGTATGTCCAGAAGATGTGGAGGCTGTTGTACCACCTAAGAATGGGTACCACCTAAGAATGGGTATGTGCCCAGCAGTGGGAAATTGATCCATTTCTTTCTTCACCCTGAGCTCAGCCTCTCTCTCTCTCTCTCTCACACACACACATGAGTCCTACCCTGCAAAATTTTATCTAACTCTAACCTCAACTACTCCGTTGAAAAAAGAGGAAATTTTGGGTAGAGGCGGAGTTGCAAACCTCAGTGCTGCGAGAACTTAAAAACAAAGCACAAAGCAAACATAGAAATAAGGCCACTCTGAGTTTAGGCAGTAGCTTAACGAGCATTTGCGAAATCATACACTTGCTTTTAGGTGTTCAAATCCTACCTCAGTGTCTCTTTAGGTGATGACACCTGTGGCTCTGATGTGGCACCTTGTCCTCCCTCACTGATGCTCTGAAGTCACTGCTGTGAATCTTGCCCTGCTAATCTTTCCTTTTCCTTTTCAGCATCACTGACCATCATTGCTGTAAAGGCTGTGGCCAGCATGATAACACTCTCTGTGAAGGGGAAAATGCAGCTAACCTACCCTGTTTTCTACATCATGATTGTTTTGATGGTAACTTCTTGTGTGTTCCAAATCAAGTAAGTGAGATTCTATTTATCTCCTAACCTTTGTACAGGTTTTATCTCTTAGGTTTTTTCAGTACTGATACAGACTCTAGATAGAAGTTGCACTTAAAGGAATGAATTTCTGGCAGATCCTTGACAGATGCATGAATTGCCTACTGCTGATTGTATTGTTTTTATAGTCCTTATTTCTCAGTTTCTAATTGATTGTTACAGATGATACCTCCTCTCATTATCACCTTATACAAGGTTTTCCCAAATTGACCTCTAGATTTAGCACAGGTCTTGAATTTATAAGTGTAATCTATTTAAATTTTTGTGGGGATACTTTTAGAAACCTTCATTGCCAAATAATCAAATGACCACATTTACCCTCATCATACATCTCTTTCCATCAGCTTAGGTCACTAGCCAGACCGAAGAAGAGAGTTCATCCCAACTTTCTCCCTGCCTCTGTTAAATCTGCACATTGTGCTTTGCTACCCTGCATGTCCGTACCTTTTTAAGAAATAGTTAACTTTTCGTGTGCAAGGGACAAGTTTCCCCTGCTGGCCTCTGGCCTGTTACGTGATTGTTTTATGCTGCCTTTGCAGATTGCTGGGGGTGGCAGCATGGTAAAATACGGCTTGCAGCTGAGCAGCGAGTCCATTCCCTTTATGCTGGTCCCTCTGCTTCAGGTGCTGATAGCATCATTCAGTAATCTCATCTAGACTGCTCCAGTGTGAGTCTGAGTGTTTACTTCCATGATTATTTTCCGATGGAAGAGCCAGCCCAGCTTTCTCGTGGCAGAACATACTATTCCCATGTGGAATCAGAAAGTCCATGCGTTATAATGCAGTGACTCTCCGTGGCTGACTCAGGAACTCCCCTGTAACAGATTATAGAGTGATTTACATCCAATTTTCTGGTCTGGGAGAACAGCTCAGGGCATTTAGAATAGGAAAGAAAAGCTTCGTAAATAGGAAGTCGCTGAATTAACCTCTCATTCTTGCCAGTTTTATCTTTCTTGCTTTTGCTGGGTCAAAATTAAAAATGAAGTGAAATACGCCCATTTCATTCCCTGAGCTCAGTGTCTCTTCCTCTCTTCTCTCTTGGACATGTTTTCTAACAGAGATAGTGCTGCCAGTCTAAATTTTTCATTCTGTTTGTTTCCTCTCTTATTTTATTTGACTGTTGTGTGTTAGCTCAGAACAGTCTGTGCTGGAACTTCCTCCTGGATACATCACTGGGTCTTGGTATCACTGTTTTAGTCCCTGTGACCAAGTTTGTTGCAAATGGGAGAAAATAATGAGGTGTTTTCAATGACTTAAAAAATCCTGACTATCCTGTGGATATGTAGGATTTCTTTATTTTTAAAGCACCATGGAGACTGTTCAACAGTTGCTAAAATAACCATGCAATTACTTTAATGGCTAAAACAGATCCAAGCTTGGATTTTTAAAATGCACATATATTGTACCAGTGAAACATTTAAGCGTGGCTCTTTTTATAGGTTTTGTATACAATCTGCAGCCTCCTGATTTTTCTCTTTTGGTCTGAAGTGCACTATTCACACAACAGAGTGTCTGCTGGTGAATCCGAGAGTTCACACGCATGATTCATCACCCCATGGGCAAATGTTGATAGCTGTGGTCTCCATGCCAGTGGGTTAACCGCTTTGTCTTTTTCATTCACTGGTGCAAACTTTGCAGGCTGCTCCATGGCCAATGTCTCAGTCCAGTTTGTGTGCAGTGTATACTCCTGCGGTCCTGCACACTCTTCATCATGTTTCTGGTGAGGGTTCGTGTTGCCTTTCTGAGGAGCACAACAGATAGCTTACAACTCAAAATGATCAGGCTAGAAGCCACCTTCCTGGACTTTCCCAGAAGGACGGAGATTGTCTGGGGTATGATTGCATGAATAAACACGAAAATACGTGGTTTAGCCAAATTAGATTGAGCAGTAGCAGCAACGTGCACTTCAACAAAGTGAAACAGTTGCTATGAGAACTCATGTTCAGGTCTGGGCTGGACATATGCACAAAACCTGTTTAAATTAGAGCAACTTGACCCTGGCTGCTCGCAGGCAGCACTGCTTCCAAAAACCAATGCAGACCATAAGCAGTAATACCCTAGCATTCCTCACTTATCTGTGGCAAAAAAAATTTTTCCAACAGCACTTCAAAGGACTCTCCAATGACAGCCTATGGCCAGAAGAATCAATGCCGACCTTCTTGCTTTTGCCTCTTTGTTTGTATAGTCCAAACCAAGAGGTAAATTCAGTACGCAAAAGCATCTGTCCAGGGCTACTTGCTGTTGTGGCAAGAAAGGGTCACAGTTATTGTTAAATTGACATAAAGTGTCTTAACCTGACTTAAAGTGCAGTGAACCGCCTGCAGGCACGTGGTGCAATAACATTTGTCTTCCAGGTTCTTGAATCAAGCAATGCACCTGTACGAAGCAACAACTGTTGTGCCCATTAATTTTGTGTTCTTCAGCACCAGTGCCATTGTTTCAGGTATGTTTCTGGCCCTCTGCCTCTACAGAGTGATTTTCTAAATATCAGGTTTTCAAGAACTACTGCCCATGAAGAGGAACACAAACCAGTTATGTTTGTCTTCACAAAAAGAAGTGACAAGTGTTTAAGTTCTGAAAAATTAGGAAGTTCACAGCTTTTGAAGTAAAATAAAAATAATAAAATTCTAGCATTTCCAGAATTGATGTATATGGTTTACTGTTCCTTTCTTACTTACTAGAAGTACCTGCATTTATCCTAGCCTCATTGTGACACAGAAAATGCATTTACCATGTGCGCACCAGCCTCTGCATAGCTGAACTGGTAGAGTAATTTTAACAGCCTGGCAAACTATTCAAATGACAACCAGCTGTGTTTCATACTAGTTAGTGTATATTCGGTTTCAGAAGGTGGAATTCTAGGTTAAGTGAAGGAAATAAAATGACTCCAAAGACTTTTTAAGCATTTAACATTTTATTCTGGGTGAGAACTTTGAACTCAGCGTTGTTAAAGAGGGACTGCAAATCTTGGAAATGGTGCACAGCATAAGAACATGAGCAGGGAAGACGACTAAGATGCTGTATCAGCAATGAGCCAAGATGATCATGTTGTTAGAACATTTATGACTCATTTTAACACACACTGGGGGCTTTCCTGTCATTGCTGTGCAGGAGTTTCTCATACAGAGCTGCCATTAATGAGAAGGAAAGTTCGCTTCACGCACAGATTGCCTCAGCACCTGTGTTAGAAGAGACCTACACTTTGTGACCGAGGGGAGACTTGTGCCAGAAGGGGGTTGTGTTCTTGTGACCATATGGGGAATTTGGCCTTGTGGCTCCTTAAAAGACCAAGTACTTATTCAGGAATGGCTTAATAGCTTTGAGACTGGATATGTGTGCATTTGCACCACTTTAGTTAAACCAGTGTAAGGCTCAGAAGAACAACCTCTGCCGCATTTTGCTGTGGTGCTTGTAGAAGGTACCATGTATCCTGATTCCCCCAGCCCCAGTCACAGCCTTTGAAGATACAGTCACACTTCAGCTGTGCTGGTTCACACTTTGGCATTTCTAAGCAGAACTATGCTTGCCAGTGGTTTAAAGCTAATATACTTGGCTGTGAATTGGGGCAGCTGAGATCCAGATGCACATCTGGTTCTGTCACCTCCACTACAGAGGTGCTAATTCCTGGAAGAGGGTTGACCAGAAAGAGCTAGCAATCCCTTGAGACAGAAAAATTTGGCAAACCCAGCTGCTGGAGCCCTTAACTTGGTGTAAACACCAGGGGCATGGCTAGTTATTGAAAATCTGTTCCCAGATGGAGCTAAGATGTCCACATGGTCTGTTGGAGTGGCTTAACTAAATTCATGAAGAACCTATTAGCTATATCAGTATGACTTTGCTCGTGAATAAGACCCTGAGTTTGACCTGCATGAAAACTGCTGCTGACAATGCAAAAAATACCTGCATCTGTGCAGTTACTAACAAAGTACTTGCTCCAATCTGAAAGAATAAATCTTTTCCAGTCCCATGTGCTATCTTGAGAAAGCCTAGATAATGGAATATGGGCACATAAAGTGAACCCATCACAATGTGTATTAATACCTTATTTGGGAATTTTTTTTTGTTCTGTTTGAGTATGACACTTATCCTGACCCTACCAGCTGTAATTCATATCACTTGGAAGCCAGTCAAGATCTGCAATTCTTGTTTCTGTCACATTCCAGGGGTCATATTTTATCAAGAATTCCAAAGTGCAGCTTTGCTGAGTGTGTTCATGTTTCTGTTCGGGTAAGTGTATCGGCCTAAAATCTGTACTAACGTTTGTATTGAAGCAGTATTGCCTTGCAGGATCTCTTCTTTTCTCAGTAAGAAGAAACCTGTCTTCTTATTAAAGTATTATGGACTAGCTATTATAGCAGTATAAAAAAAACATTAAAGGAAAAATTGATATCTGTGCTTTGGGAGTTTGGAGGCCTGGTTTTGAATCCAAATATGTAAAAATGTGAGATACTTATGAGCTACTAATCTCACAATGGAATGAAAAACAAGCAGCAAGTGTTCCTCCAGCAGGAAGGAGAAATCACTGCTCTCCACCAAAGACTTTCTATAGAGGTGCTTTTACAACTGCACAAAATCGCAGCCCATGTTGCCTTTCACTTGTGTGTCCAGCTAGTATTTGATGCCACTAGCTGTGGGCAATTACATGAGTTGCTTATCTATGAGGCAGTACTATAATATCATCTCTCCCCTGTTTTCCTGTGCCGAGAAAGACACAGCATACCTGTTCTGGAAAAGTTCAGAACATGGTAAAAAGCTGTTAACAATAAATGTTTGAAGAAGTAACATTCTGCTTGCTACAAGCCCTGTAACAGCTCTGGGGACAGGTGACAGTTACTTGATAATGGGCATGAAATGGCTAAAAGCATCTCCCAGAACTGCTGGAGGTGTCTTGTCACACTGCTGTCAGATAAACGGGGCTGATGGCTACAGAAGTTTTCATCCTCTTCAGTTAGACGGAGTAGATGCACGCCATTGCTATCTTATCTGACTGCAGAAAAAGTGAAAAAAAAATCAGAGATGAGCAAATTCAACTTATGTATTTGGCAGACAGGAATTAGTGGTTGTGTGTCCAGCACAAAGTGGATAGATTTATCCAAGCACAGCAGTTTTTCACTGCTCCTGGCTTACAGCTTACCCCTGAGACACACAGTCAAACAAGAAGAACAACCGAGATGTTGATTGTCTGCAGCTAGACTGAGTTGTTAATGACATTGCAAATGCTAGAATGCTAGCTTAGATGCTCTGTGAAGATTTGCTCAGGGATTCAAAGTTGTGGCCTCACACTCACAGGAATTTCATTAGGTATATATTGCTGAAAGTGTAATTTTGCCTGCGGAGCCTTTGGAACTGATAATAAAGCTTCAGGAGGCAAAAACTAGACTAAGAGGGAAACCAAGATGAATTTATAGAACTGCCAGGAAGAACAATTTCTTCATAAACTGAGCAGCTTGGGTTTGGAAGTCATTGAAAAAGAAACACGGAAACAAATTCTCATCTCGGATGCAGTGAATTGTTTCTAATGATACTATGCCACTGCTATTTTGCAGGTGTCTCCTGTCTTTCCTGGGTGTGTTTTTAATTGCAAGAAATAAAAAAGAGGAGCAATTACAAGTTCGTTTTATAGACTGTGGACATATTCCTGGTAAGTAGGGCTTTTTTTTGTGTCTCTGTTTAAAAATGAGATATCAGATAATGGGATGACCTAGAAGAATTGAGTCACAAATGTGCTCTAGTCATATTTAATAAATATACTGCTCCCTTAATTTCTATTTCTGTTCCCAACAGAGTTTTCAAAGAATTTTTCAGAGTTTTTCCAAGCTATTGTTAACAACCAGTCAAATGAAAACAATGATTACTGGAGCAAAGAATGTTTAAATGATGGATTGGTGGGGGATTTGTTTTATTAAAATTCTTCACAGAGTTGTTTTTCCCTTCTCTCACCCCATTTCCCTAGGACAAAAATTGACAGGCAAAATACAACCAGATTCTCACAGTTCATGCTATGGCACTTTGAATAATGAAGACAATTCAGTGAAAAGTCAAAGCTGAAAGAAGAAAACACATACATGCCAATTAACAGGACGAACGCTACTGAAGAAGGACCAACAGCACCTTTTTGTTGGACATATTCAAGTATATGTTGAACTCCTGTATGTTGATGAGTCATAGTATTATTTAATCTTACTTAATTTATCCCATGGTTGTCCCAAATGTATTCTGAATTTAAAAGAACCCTTAAGAAAAACTAAACAACCATTAATTAAACAGAACATTCTCACAGTATCAATTGTTTTTGGGGATATTTTTAGAGTCTTATTTGCCTTGACATGCAAACAGGCAGAGAAGATTATAAAAATTCCCCTTTGAAGCCCCTCAGTTCTGTGTAGGTGTTTAAAGACAAAGGTGGGAAATGAGGACAATTTTCATAAGTGACTTCAAAGTATTCTTCTATATGTATAATACACCTAAAACTCTGATCCTTCCTGTTCAAGAATTAAAACTGTGGGCATATGTACAACATACACAAATATATACACAAAAAGGGTTTTATATTATGTGTAGAGGCAAAATCATGATTATCTTCTGCCATCAGATTATTTCTGTTATCTTCCAAGAACATAAACACTTGTGTGAGGAAGGAGAAGGAAGAGAGCATTTGCCATAAACATAGGCATATGTGCATACACACACATGAGGTGCCCAGACAAGGCAGAGCAAGAGAACTGTCCTCCCAGGAGAGTCCTGTGTGCTGGGACAGGCTATACTATCTGTTAGTATAGTGTAGCCTGAGGTTTAGCCTCTGTTTTCAGGAAAACAAGGTTTTAGTGAAGAAAGTGCAAAATTCGCAAGAGGGAATGAGGTAGCCAGACTCTTTCCTTTGATGTGTCTTGGAAAATTGCTGCCCAAAAAGAAATGTAGGGTAACTCCTGTCTCCTTCCTGGTAATCCTGCATGGAGAAAGGCTGTAAAAATAGGATCACAAAGAGTCACAGTAACAGTACAATTTTTCCATCATTAAATGGTAGTGGCTCCACGTTGATTTGAAGAGCCAGCAGTGATGGAAACCATGGCAATATCAGGCTTGGTATTCAGGCCTAGGAGGACTCGGTGTCCTTCAGTCCTGGCCTCCTGGGAAGAGAGCTTCTCCTGAGCATTCATCGTGACTCCCCTCACCCCTGCCTGGTGGCGCATATCTACCTCAGCCAGCACGATGGGGGTCAGATACCTCCTCCACAAAAACCAGTGAAAGTGCTCTTGGAAAGTACTTATATCTTGAATAAGATACTTGGTTTGAATTAATCCGCAGTAATGGATAGGGGCCACAGGCTGTGTGTATTTTGTTTCAGTGGTATATGAGAAAATGAGGTATCTTTTTTTTTTCACAAATAACTGTTTATTTAATTTTAAAATAGGTATAGATGAAGTTCCATCAAACAGTTTCATTTCCAACCCTACAAAGTGCACACAGAGCTGCAATTTTTCCTATGCAGCACATCCCGAGAGCCAGGGTGCAGGGGGGCCTTGCGAAACTGTTTTCCAACACGGATCTTTTCCAGCTGGCACACGACAGGACTCTGTGTCTGCACCTTACTTGTACCAGCTGCCTGAACGTGGCCTTCCTTTCCCCTCTTACAGCTTGAGTTCAAATTTCTAAAGCTTAAAGCAAAAAAAAGCACATTCTTTTTGTATGCTTTCTCCAGGGAATAAGGGCATGACTCTATCTTTCTTTTGCAAGTCAAATTTAAGCTGCTTTCTAAGTCTCAAGTGAGACTGTGTGCTAAAGATGGAAATAGGAGGCCTACAGGTTTTCATCCTGTGACCTGGGAAATAAATGGGTGAAAGGATTTGGTTTCACTTCTTTTTTAAATGATTGGCCTTAGGCATCTTTCTGAAATCTGTTTCTGTGACTCAAGAGGGCTGGAGAAGGTAATAAGGGTTACCAGATACAGGATTTTCTCTTTAAAGCAAGATATCAAATGTAAAAATCTGTGGCAAAAGCTTTTCTTTGTTTTAACTAAACTGTTATATTTCTTCTTGAACAACACTTTTTCTCTTCCTGTGTGTTTAAGTAAAAATTATAAATGTTAAAATGTTTTCTTTAAACTTGAATGTAATTGAAGTTAATTTATGGAGCAAAATGCTAGTAGGAATTATGTGCAATTAAACATTGTGATTTAACATGGTTTTTGAGATGTGAGCACTTTCCAACCAATTACTATATTACAGCATCGGAAAAACTCAGTGATGAGAATTCATTACTGCTTTGCCAAGAAAAGGACATGATTTGTTTCAAGAATAAGTTTCTAACCAATGTCATTTTTAGATTCTGCTTGTGATATTTAGGTTGCAAACACCACAGACAAATGCCTGCTAAAAGAAAAGCCTTTTCACTGGAATACAAAGATGTCTCTGGAGCCATTCTCTTTAATAATGAGTTATTTTCTTGCGATGTTCTTCCTGACATCAAAAATATGGCCCAGATATAGGCTACAAAACTTGCACCTGCAGACTGAACTTTCTTGAACAGATCCTCCACGGGACCTGAGGAAATCAAATGATGGGAAGGCGGGGTGGGCAGGCAGCGGCTCACGTGGTCCCCCCAGGCTCCAGCTCAGGATTTTTGTCAGACCAGAATCAGCAGGACTTGTTTAGTGCTTGTTCCACTGCTGGTCATGCTGCGGTAAGAGATGAAGTATTAACTGGCCACGGGCCTAGAAATGGGAGCTTTGGAGTAGAGCAAGGCCATTTAATTTCTTCTGTAAAATATCGGGATGCATTTACCAAACGGTTTCAGCTGGCGAAAAATAAATGAATTTTGGACTGGATTTGTATTTCTTCCCATGGTAGGGGCCTTGCATTCACCTGGCAGGCTTACTGCTTGCTCCTCACTACAGACTCATGTTTTACATGTAAGGACACTGGTCACCTAAGACCAAAGGAGAGAGGTCAGACATTATAGAGGCTTGAACTTCTGTGCTTTGAGGCTGTGGTTTCCTGCACCTGGCAAGCTGCTTGAATGGTTCAGTGCTCCTAAAGCCTCATCCTTTTTTTTCCCAGCTGTGAAATCCTGCACAGCCTGTGGCTCTCCACAAACCAGTTCAGCTCACTCACGCTGCAGAAACCATCTGCTTTCTTTTCCTTGCTGGGTTGCCTCTCTGAGCTGAGCCAGTCTGGCTGGAGCATTTGATGGGAAGGAAGGGGAAAAGCAGGAGAAGGAGTGCGATTTCTTTAGGGGGAACTATTGCATTAGTTCTCTCCTTCTGAGAGCTTCACTCCACAGCAAGCATCCCGCTAAGTTCACTCTTCATGTATCACCGTGCCCCAAATGCAGTAGTTATGAGCTTTTTGAAACACTTTCAAGTGTCTGACTCCCGAAGGAAAACCCTGATCCAGACTCACTGGGTTATGAACAGTGGGCACTGAGTGGCTCCCCATGGGGCTGAGATAGGCAGCTCGTGGCACCAGGAGTGTCCTATGATCAGCAAGAAGCCTGGACACATGTCTGACTACAACTTGTTCTAAGGACTGATTTTTTTCCTTTCCAATGACAGCTATAAGGTGCATAAAAAGTGCTGGAAGAATGGAATGCGAAGTCTTCCGAACTCAGAATGGTCTCCCCTTGCAATCTCTCCTTCCAACCCAATTCCTGCAGAATATTTGGTTGCTTGCCTCTGCTGACACTGGAATGCAGATGATTACACTGAGCTGTCTTTAAGTTTGCCCTTTTGTTACTGTCCTCCGAGGCTTGGCCTTTCTCTTGTTTAAATTTGTTTGCTTCTGGAAAAATCAGCTGGACTGTGTTAGCAACTAGCCCAAAGGAGATGGAGACCAATTATCATAATTATTATAATTATTATTGGAAAGCCAGGCTGGAAGTTTTACAACCTGAGGCCACCTTGAGAAAGACAGAGAAATCTTTACCACTCTGGATTCTTTGGAGTTTGAGAAATCCTGTGTTTAGAGTGTTTCTGGGTTCTGGGATAAAATTAGGGACACTATTGAATAAATAGTGATTACATACCTTTTTTAAATGTGGTTTTAGTCTGAATTTTTGGGGTTTTTTGCAGTGGAGTATTACTGGTCTCTGCCTAGAGAAGCAGAGAGGAAATAAGGCATTCCCTTGGCAGATGGGAGATGTTTCAACCAAAGCTGGGAGATGTATAAAGGCACCTTCCAAACACCCTGGCTGAAGTAACCATTGAGTTATAACATACAAGGAGGCAGCATTGGCAAATACATCACTACATATTAAGCAGTCATGACCATTTAGAAATGATCCTTGTCCTCTTGTTGTGTTAAATCTGTTGAGACCACATGTAGTTGCTCTTAGTCACTTAGGCTAAACGTATTTTTGAAATATGTTAAGTGGGATACTCAAAGCATCATCTCAATGCCTCTTTGGCATGAACTGTGCCCTGTGCTAGGTCCTCCCTGTGAGGAAATTGGACTGTGTGGTGGGTGCACAGCACAGGCTTAGTCTGATAAGAAGCTGCAGTTCTGCCAGGAGGTTCCCATGACCCTGGAAGCGTTTATAGAGTACTGCCCTACAAGGAAGTTGTGCAAACCTACGGTCTCAAATCATGTTCCTTTTACTTTGTGATTCATACCAGAGTAAGCAAGAGCAGTTTGGGGTATCCACAGAGCAGAATTACTGGCACCTCAAGAATTTCCAGACACAACAGATCAGACCCTAAATAGCTGGGTGGCTGCTGAATATTATTTAATCTAAATCTCAAGTTTGCAGCTAGGCCTCTAAAGTTTGTCCTAACCTTTGAGGGAGAAAGTGCATTTTATAGCCTAAATTTGCAGTAGCACTTTGATTGCTAATGGACTCAGGCATCTGTGCCAGGGGAATTTGTGTCAGTTCATAAGGTAACAATGAGGGGGATGGTGTTCGGCAGCAGAATTAGAAATGTATCATGATGGTGGAGGAGTTTTGCATGAACAAGGAGGAATGATTCCAGGGGACCAATAACATAGAGCAGACTCCTGAACTCCTTATTGACAGTGTCAACAAGGCATTTGTTGACAGTTTTCAAAGTAGAGCTA